ATAGAGCCTGGTGGAACCACTGAGACTATGGCCCCTAGTTGCCCTTCATGTCTGGAATTGAACCCACACCTGTGGTTTCCAGCCAAACAAAATACAGGCATATGAGTTAAAACATTTACCTCAAGTAGATACACTCCTTGGAGAGAACAATCATAGGAGAAGGAAGGGCTGCTTATGCACAGGGAGACAGCCCAGGGGGCAGGAGAGTATGGAGGGATGGACACTGGGAAGAGGTTAACTATGGGGAGGATGTGAGAAGGGAGCTGTTGCATTGTGGTAAACTGTGGTCAATGACATGAGACAAAGTATATGTGAACTGCTGTATGGATAGACAATTTGCTCTGTAAATCTTCACCCAAATCACAATTTAAAAAAAAAAAAGAAAGAAAGAAATGATTAATTCAGGCTATGATCATCAGTGGGTACAATCAGTGGACGAAAGGTAGAAAAGGAGCTTTGTAATTGAAGGGACCAGGCTGTCTGCTAGAACACTGATCATCTTCACAACACTAACACAGGACAGCCAGGCATCGTGTGTCCTTGATGTGAGGCAATATGAAGTGCTCAGCCTCCCTTCTGCCCCCAAGAAGGACCTTTGCCAAAAATGTTGAACCTGGATTGAATCAAGCATTTAGTGTGAACTCCCACTTACTGAAATGATGGAGACAGAGGAAAAAACTGAAAGACAGATTTCCTGACTCTCAGCCAGTGAAGAAATCTTTCCACTATACCACTTAACCATTCTGATCCTCAGAACCAAATGAAAGCCACAATTTTAAAACTAATTTTCAAAAAGAACCCGTCTCTCTCCAGCCAAAGTATTCAGAATCACTCTTCCACTTGGAGTTTGTGGATCTTACAATGCCAAGTCTCCAAAAGATAGTCACTCTTCTGATGTGTGTATGAAAGACTTCATGCAAATTAATTTTGTAAATCACACTCTATTTTAAATGGCAAAGTAACAGTAGTATTTAAAAGAATCCGATGGATAACCCTTGGCTTCATTTTCCAATTTCTTTCTTCTCTTCAGATCATGTTTGCTTTCAGCAGCCTGTCCTTACCATTTGTTAAAAATGGCTATAAAATTTTGAAGAAAAAGTTAAGGTAGGTCTTACCATTTCTCAGGAAAGACCCATCTCTACTCTTTGGAGAGGTCTATTTCTCCTATGAAAATACACTCTGCTTTCAATAATGGCTTGGATGCTTGTGTAGGAAAAAAAAAAAAAGTCAAGGTAAATTCTAGCTGACTGACTGACAAAACTGAAAGGTCAAGATTGCAGTCACCTCACTGACAGTGCTGTGAAGCATGTCTTCGTCGTCTTCTTCAGTGCCAATGATACTTGAGATACCAGATGGTTTCATTTTTCAACTGTGGTCCAAAGAGAGGGTTGAGTTGGGCCAGAATTGCAATCAGCCAACTGAAAGAATGATGAGGGAAAACAACAACAAAAAAAAAAGTGAAATAATGTTGGAACATGACTGTTTTCAATTAGGATGGAAAAGGCACATCAGTAAAATAAAGTCAAATCTATTCTATTCAAACCAAACCCTTTCAATACACTTAGTGTTCATCAAAAACATTGTGCTAACAGAAGCATGTCTTACAACAACACATTCTACAGAACATACCCGCATTCACTTTGACAGTTATCCACAAGCATCAAAATGCAGTGATGCTTCATCACAGTTCTGTCTTTTCCCTCATTACCTTCATCTCCTTCCTAAGTACTGCAGATATACTGAATGCATATGATGTCTTTACTTCAATGTGTATTTATATAATCTCCATTTATCATCATCATAACATCTGAGCTCAGGAAATGTGGCTATTAGTATAGCCATTGTCCAAATGATAAGGCCCACAATCCACCCAACACAACACAACTAACACTGGTGCAGCAAAGATTAAATTTCAGCCCATCACCTTTCCAATTAGACTATAAATCTTGAGTGCCCCTTCACTAATCACCATCACCACTAAAACACACAACATCTTTTGGGCCCCAACAGAACTGAACCAAATGGGCACTTAATGTCTTCTGCTTGCTTCAGAACCTAAGTAACTAAGTAAGTGCAACTGTATTATAGACTAATTATGCAGAAAAATAACACATTAAGTCAAGATTATAGTTAAAATTTTTGAATGTTGTTATTGTTAGTTGCTGTTGATATCGTCTCATGGCAACAGAGTAGAACTACTCCATAGACTTTTCTTGGCTATAATCATGACAGAAGCAGATCATCAGACATTTATTTCCCTCCACAGTACCAATGGGTGAGTTCAACTGCCAGCCCCTCTACCCAGAACACAAAGGAGAAGATGAAACATCACTATCTTCACCGAGCTTTCATAATATAATACCGTCAGGTAATGGAAAGTACTATGAAGGAGAACAAAGCAAGGTGAAGAAATAGAGAATGATGGTGGGAGGTGGCACTACTTGAATAGTGGTCAGGGAAGCCCTCTCCAAGGAGATAACACCTGAACAGAGACCTGAATGAAACTACCTTCAGTATGTTTACATTGATTGAAAAACCAAACCCACTGCCATGGAGTCAGATCCAACTCATAGCGACCCCTCCTTGAGTTTCGGAGGCAGTATCACTATGGAAGTAGATTGCCCAACCTGATGATTGATTAGAACTCTTCAAAATATACAAATTGATTAGAATTTGTCTCAGTTTTGAGGGGAGGGCAGGGATGCACTAAACAAGGTCAATGTCCATCTACTGATCTGGGAGAATGAATTTTAATAAATTTATCTGATACTGCTCTCCTCTCTGCATGGGATATAGAGAATTGCTTTCCAAGGAAAAGGAGATGTACTGCTATGGTACTCTCCCAAAATTGTAGGATTTTAAATTCCCCTATAAGAATTTAAAATTAGGGAATTATCCAAACCCAACCAGGCAATTACCTGGTTGGGTCTCTTATCTTCCATTTGCTATCATTTTTCTTCCAATCAAATAATCAAAAAGCTGATTCTGATCACCGATGAGCAGATTACTGGAGAAGCAGCCAGCACCACATCAGAAGCTTGTGCCTACAGAAAAAAAGCACCCGCCCATCTCGCCACCCCTCCACCCAAGGAAAAAAAAAAAGTGGTTTTGTGACAGGAAACAAGATACCTGAGGAAATGAGGCCAAAATGGATACCTCAAGCTGACTCACTTTATAAACAAAAAGTTAATTTGGATGACATTTTCTGATCTGTCCCCAGAACTAGGGTATTAAACACACATAAAAAAAATAACAAGACTTGTAGTTGAGGTTTAACATCTATCTGATTCTATAAAAAAAAGAAAGGAGGCTAGCTAAGGCAGATAAACTGAAAAGCTCTGTGACTGCAGTGAACACAAATGGTGCAGAGTGAAGAGTCATGGAAAATTCCACACAAACCCAGGATTTCCCCAACCCCAGTAGGCAATGCAAACTGACTGCAGAAATAGCCACTCGTACTTTCGTAAGGCTCAGACAGAACTGGCCAATGCTTAGAAACACTAAATAAAAAATAATATAACCTAAACTAGCTCCTGTCTCCTTTCTTCACCAAAAATATGTATCAGAATAAAAACAGCATCTCCCAGCAGTTTGCATCACGTTTTATAGCTATCGTTCTCAACCCTGGCTATATATTATAATCATCTGAGAGCTTTTAAAAAATACTGATGCTGTACTTCACATACAACTTTTTACTTTATTCTCCTATGATACTTTATTCTCCCTCAGTTAAGGAAACTGAGGCAGAGAGGGGCTCAATGATTTGCCTATGTTCTCAATACTAATTAAGGGGCAGTAGGTCCTAGACCAGAATAAGTCAGAAAGTTACCGTCTGAAATATCTTATCAGAGAACATTTCAAGAAGATTTCATTTAGCTAAATCTAAATTGTTTGAGAGCTAAACAAAGATGATTCCATTGGCTGATTACTGTTTAAGTCCATAACAAACCTTTGGTACTTAAGATAACGAATAAATATCCAGAAGAAGGAAGTCTACTTTGCTTGCTCAGGTCAGTACCCAGAAATCTTTCTGAATTTAATTATACACTATTTTTAAGATTTCAAACCAAGTAAAACATTTCACTCAAGGGAACCCCAACAAACCACTCCTGAAGAAAATCTGTTGGGAAATAATCCAGGCATGTTCATTTGCAATTTCATGAAGGAATTTTCCTCCTCTAACCAGCTGAGCTCTTGCCTGCCCTTCCTACTACTGCTTGACTTAAAATTTCCCTTTAAAGCTAATAAACACAATGGAGAACTAGAAGGAGGAAAAAAAAGATCCACAATGAATTGATGGAAGTGGGTGGAGGAAGATATCATATTCCAGTGAATCTATTACTTCATGTGTACAAGAAAAGAGAACAAAATGTACCCTTCATTATTTGCCCAAATGGTTCCACATGTCTCCATAGTCTGAACTTCAGCCTAATAATGAAACATCTGAGATTATTCAAACTACAGCTATTGCTCTGTGACACCTTTCAGAAAATCGCAAAGCTGGGATGCACCAGAGTCAAGTCGATGCTTCTCATTTTAAAGACAAGGAAGCTAAATCCTAGGGAGCTTAGTTGTCATTGCTGTGTGTTCTGACTCATGAACTGCCCCACAGGGTTTCCAAGGCTGTAATCTTAGCAAGAGCAGATCTCCAGGCCTTTTCTCCCATTGAGTGCTGCTGCTGGGTTCCAAACACCGACCTTTCAGTTAGCAGCCATGTGCTTACCCACTGTGCCACCAGGGCTCCCCAGGGAGCTTAGTAATCCACAACAAATCAGGGAGAGAGCTGGAAGAGGACCCAGAACTCCTGAGTCTCATCACCCCAGGCTGCTTATGTATGGTGTGACAGATGAAACAAATCAAGCCTCCTCAGAGGTCCTCGTTTATGCCACAATCACTTACCAGTGCCATGCTCTATGCCAGGCTCTAGGGGTACAAAGAGGGGCCTACCCTCAAGGAGCTCGTGACCTTACAGGAGACAAACCAAGGCAAGCATTTAGCGTGCTTTGGAAGTGATTTGCAATGATGCTTTCATGCTACAAACACTCCCTGGCTGCCTACCCTGAGCGCAGCTCTTGGTTATTAGAATTCTCCAACATAAAATAGGCCCTCCCCACAGAATAGGCTATAACCAGCTCTCTGAAACCTTGCTTTGTTTTTTTTCTTCCACATTCAGATATGAGAACACGGAACAAAAGCATGGGCAAAGGCATGGGCTACTTCCCATGACACACAGATCAAGGGATAACTGCTCAGCTTCCCTGTTGGAATGGGGAAGTCCAGCTAGGACTTCTCTTCTGAGCCACCATCCCTCCAGCTAAGGCCACAATGGGAGGGGCCTCTACCAGAAGGCTCCTTAGAGACAGCAGACATGCAGGTGAGTGATTTGTTCTGTCTCTACTGAGATGACCTCTGTCAAAGCCTCTTATCCCAAACCAGTGACACAAACACTTTCAAGGGCAGCAACATTATTAGAAGCTACTAGAAAATACAGGATTTGGTTTTAGACAGGGTTAAATTTTAATTCCAGCTAACTGTCTGGATTGACTTCAACCAGGTGACCTTACAACACTGAGTCTCCGTTACCTCCTTTATGAAATGGAGATTAACAATCCCAACCTCAAGGTGTTGAGAATTAAAGAGATAATATATGTAAAGTGTTCTGTGCAGCATCTGACAACTAGATGTTCAACAAATACTAGCCATTCCATTTCTTTCTCTGTAAGACAGCTAAAAATATACTCAAGCCATAGAATAAAATATATAGGAGTTTCTCTTGTAGCACTGAGTCATTCTCCCCTCCACCTTTCTCCCACCCCTGCTCATTCCTACTGTAGTAGGCAGAATTAGAAGATGCCCCCCCCAAGATTCCCATCCCAGTGTATACACTCTGATAAGCCACAGGACTGTGAACAGGATGAGGCTGTCATATGACTTTAAGCAAGAACAATCACCCTGAGGGGCCCTGAAAAATCAGGTGAGCTCTTAATAGGGACAGGCTATCCCTGAAGAAATATATTTGAACTGTACATGTCAGTTATGAATTTATTTTCTCTCAGCTTCGAATACACCCTTTAAAATGTACTCTGTGGACTATGGCCCCTAGTTGCCCTTCAGGTCTGGAATTGAACCCACTCCTGTGGCTTCCAGACAAATAAAAGACAGACAGATGAGCTGAACATTTACATTAGGTAGATATACTCCTCAAAGAGATCAATCATGGGAGAATAGAAGAGCTGTGTATGCACAGGGAGACAGCTGGGGAGGGGCAGGAGTACAAAGGAGGGAAGGACAGGGAAGAGGTAACTATAGGGAGGAAATGGGAAGGGAGCTGTCACACTATGGGAAATTATAGTCAATGTCACGAGACAAAGTGTATGTGAGCTGCTATATGGAAAGTGAATTTTCTCTGTAAACTTTC